GAAGAGCTCAGCATCACCTGCAGTTACCAGATATATTGTTTTCTTTTGGTTGCTAATATTTCATACATCTCCATTGATTGTCAGCTGGTGGTCCCTGAGCCTGTACTTGGTTAGAGTCTGGCTCTGTTCTCCATCCCTGACAGCAAAGAGCTGTTATGTCAAGTGTAAATCTCTTTAGCACTGTATAATATTCCGCTATAGGTAACATATGAATTAATTTTTCTTAAAACAGCTTGGTTCTTTCCACTTTACAGTAGTTTAGTTTGGTTAGTTTATTTTCCAAGGTGTACAAAACCAATTAGTTCAATTTTTTAAACGCACAATTATTCACCTTTATGTTTATTGGGCCGGCTTTGGTTTAGGATCAGAATCGGTGCCCTGGGGTTTCCCTTTGCCGTTTTAAACATGTGGGAGCCCCGTCCGGATTGCACATGTGAACTATAGCAACAGCACAGCAGCCAGTGTCAACATCAACGCTCTGAGAATTAACGTGTATGCAATCAATCATTGGCCAGTAATGTAATTGTGCATTTTTTTCTACCTTTTCCTGTTTCTTCAGTGTTTCCTGGCTGTATCCGTACGCTACCATCATCTCCTTTCTCTCACTTTCCACTTGAAGTTGTGATTACCACACTGCATCCCCCCCAAAAACGATAAAAACGCACATCTAACGCACCGTTTTGATTAGGCACTGTCTTAAAACTGTGGGTGTGATACACATTGCAATGAAATTAAGAGTTTAAAGCCAGCAGCTCTGTGAGGTCCTACATTTTTTTTAAAATAATTGGTTATTTTTATTTGTTAAGTAATCAGTTCTCAAATGAAAACACAAAAATAGGTTTCGGGATTGCAGTTGTTTGGACTGTTCATTATTTTAGATACCAGAAAACATACGATTCTTACAGTATGTACAGTGTATATTGTATCAAGACAAAATATTAGGTGATCCAGCTTCTCAAATGTAAATATCTGCTTGTTTCATTGGTCTTGTGAAAGTAAGCTGAACATGTTTGTTTGGACTTTTTGACATATTAATAAAATATAAAGTAGAAGACATCAGTTGTCCTTTTAACCCTTGGTAGGTATTCTAAACAGACTCTCACACCGAGGCTACACATTCAATGCACAACTTTAAAATAAAAAGGGGAAAACTAGAAGTAAAACATTGGGGGAAACAATAAGGAAGCGATCGCCGGCTTTAGATTGAACGCTCCAGTAGATAGAAAGATGCCCGGCAAGTGGAGCTGAAGACAAACAACTGGCCTTTGGCGTATATTCAGGAGACCAAACATTTCATAAGGTGTTTCTACTCATTGTCCATCAGGTGGCTGAATTCAAATGATGATTGCACCAGTGATGAACGCTTGGTGATCTTACAGGAATAAACACGTTCTTGTGTGAACTGGTATTTGAAAAAAGGACACAGACGCATGGATTCATAAGGGGCTACCACGGTGGTATCCTCGTGAGCAGGAAATGTCTTTTTAACAACCAATTAAAGGTGGACCAGTCTGCTAGCTTACCAGAGGAATGTTTACACAGAGGAGCTCTCTGGAGGAGGAAAAGGGTTCGAGGGATTCATCGAGGGGGGGGGGGGCAGAGATAGAGAGGGAGAGTGGAGGAAGGGTGAACGCCAGAGAGAGCTGATGGAGGTGAAGTCCACGACTTGGCACTTTCACAGGTGTGCGCAACGGGGGGTTGGAGGAGGAAGAGGTTTGTGTGCGTGTGCATGTGAGTGTATGTGTGTGTGTGTGTGTGTGTGCAGGAGTGTTGGGAGCTGCCAAACTGGCCACCTGTCTTTCCCTCGTTGTAGTTTTAGTGTTTCCTTTCATCCGGCCCTCAGCAGCACAGCTCCCACTTGGAGCAGTTAGCCTCCTGCCGTGTTTGCGAGTGTGTGTGTGCGCGTGTGTGTGTGTTTGCGTAGCTCCGGTCCCAGTGGGGTTAGAAAGACTAATGTTCCTAAAGGTGTATTTCGCTCTTTCCGCCGCGTTTTTATATCTTTGTTCTTTATGTTTTATTGAGACAGTTGGAGAGGAGGCAGGATGTTGGCCAACAGGCCTACGGAGCAGGAGAGGACACCAGAGGAAACTTCTGCTCCAATGTCAACAGGAGGTCATGCTTCAGGGAAAGCACTGCTACCTATCCATCTTTAATTAATAGACCTTATTCAGCTGGGTACCATCTGAGCACAAAAACATGGATGAGTTGGGAAAAAAAACAGGAAGTGCTCCTGTCTCCTCCACTGATTCTCATGCTATGACGGTTGAAAAAAGTAAACACGACTCGTTTATGTTTCCGAGTTCAAGAGCCTGTCTTATTTTAAATATATCGTTATTTGTAAAAGCTGTGGTGGTTACATAAGATTATTTGTATTGGAGGATTTATTCTCTATAAGTTCACCTGCCGATGTCCCTCGTATTCACATTCTTTTGGAGCGTTGGTTTAGTACGTAGTCAGAAATGAGAGCGACGGGGTTAAAAAGCATCACATCAATCCGGCCTCACTGACCAATAGCCACAACAACTTGTAACTTCCTGTTCTGCTACTTCATTTGAGGGGGAGAATGTAAATTGCACTATTTTTTTGTGGGCTACACATAATTTACCTACTTTTAAATCAAGTCAGTTATTGTTAAAGCTGTTAGCGGATATCTTTTTACTTCGTAACTGTTCAAAAGAGGTCACAAGATTGTGTTTTCCGTATATTCAGACATCAACTAGGTTCTGCCAGCTTTCCAACAACCGCTGTGTTTATTCCAAATATGTTGAATTTCTCTAACACGTCTTCAGGCAACATCCACCAGCCCCTCTGGTGCTGGCTGTTTATTACCTCAGCTATCAGTATTCACATGCCAGATTTCCATGGGGTCGTCTTCGTCAGCGACCATTATATCGATAATAAGAGCCGGTCGATCGTCCAACCTCCGGTTCACCTTGGTCCAAAACCGCCCACTTAAATAATAGACCGGAGCAGTCTGCCCTCTCAGCTGATCTGTTTTCATCAATGCAAAATACAGAGATCATTAGACAGCTAAGCTATATCACAGATCCTTCCGCTTAGCGCGCACGTGTGCGTGTGTGTGTGACTGCACATGCATGCATCCGTCCATCTATTTGTGCATATGGAAGTTCATCTGCGTACGAGTGTGTAAATGGTCATCTGTGCGTGTGTGAGTGTAGGCGTAGGGGGGGAACCTGATCTGGTCTGTGTGGGAGGAACAAGCCCCCCCCCACCCCCCCTCTCTCCCCTCTCTGCTGCTCAGACAGACGGCCTGCTAGAGAGATCAGACTCTCAGACTAACTGGACCAGAAGTCATTAGGACACGCTAGACACACAGCGCCTTTTTTTTTTCAAAGCTATTGCTTCCTTTTAAAAAAACGTCGCACAGTAAGATTATCTACGTCTCATCGGCTCATAACAGTACAAAGATCTTTTAAACAAGACACACAGCGCTTTTCAAACCTTTGTCTCAGGAACCAGCGAGCAGCAGGGACCACTTACACGGAAAGTGTGCCCTGAGATTTAATCTTTTGTTACGGGTGGGGAGGAAAAAACCTGCTCTGGCACTTGAATTTGATGGGCAAAAAGCTTCATAAACTTCATAGGGCACGCTATCAACTGTGAATCTGTCCTTCTCGAGTCCCAGGTTTAAATTTACACCTTTTCTTTGTCCCGTTTGAGAAATACATCATTTTAATCCGTGCGAAAAAAATAGAAAGAGTAACTCTAAAACCGACTAGTGTGATTACATACACAATAAATCAGCTTCGTATTTTGGGGCAGTGTCCACTTTAAACTACGTCTTGGCTCGGAAATCTAGTCACATTTTTGTTGGTTGTTTTTCTTCGCCGGGCACTTGTCACATTGTTGGAAAAAGCTCCATAACTGGCACCTTGGTCGCAGTAACAGCTTGTTAGCATTAAAAAAAAATTGGAAACACCAAGTCGGTGCAGCCTCCATTAAAAGAACGGCTCATTTACATTTCACTTGCTGGTGGAAAATGGCTGCAGGAATACTGCTGTTATGTGGTATTTAAATGATGCACTATGAAACTGTAGACTGGGTATGAACTGTATTAATAGACTCTAACACTCTTAATCCTAGAAAACTACAACAACAGTCAAACTATGCAACATTTTCTGGTTTATGGATTTGCTTTACGTTTGATTGCAGTAACCAGAGGGGCGAAAAGATGCAAAAACAAAGCACACTGGCCTCAAAGATGAAGATATCACAGATGTGTGTAGCTGGGAGATGGTCAGATTAGCTGTAATGAAAAATGTGACCATAAAAAAAAGGAAGGGCAACGTTCCACATTTTATATGCTCTGACTATGTTTTCATTTAGACAGTGGACAAATTTGGAGAGTAGAGAGATGCTGAAAGACGGCATGAAAAGAAAGACAAGAGAGTGTAAGGAAGCTGAGATATATAGATAAATAGAGGAGGTGAAATGAGGGTAAGTGGTGCGTGGCTAAACACGCTGGAAAGCCATCACCATCCAGACTCCGGCCTGGACCACTCCAGGGAAAAGAGAGGAAGAGCAGAGGAGGAGAGGAGAGAAGACAGAAAGACCATGTGGAAAGGTAAAGGAGAGGACAGCGCAGGGACGCGGGCAGATGTCCAAACAGCCATACCTGCAGATTCAATTCTGCTATCTCCCCCCCCTTCCTCTCCTGTGCTCGTCTGAGCCCTCACAGGTCCGCCTCGCCTTCAAACCCTGTCTGTCACCGACGGCTCTCATCTCGGTGTCCCAACAGAGAAGAGGGACAAGAGAGAGGCAAATTAAAACGGGTATCAGGGCTAATGTTCCTAATTGGAACTTCTGTGCAGCTTCAGAATGATCTTTCTATCTTATCGAGCATGATGAAAAAGTATGATGAAAACTATCGTTTTAATAGTTTCTGAGTGGAATATATATTTATTGTTTACAAGATGGACCTGGGGAGGATTTGAGAGGACACCAGGTCAAATTACCATCAACGTATAAATGAAAATTACTCCCAGATATACAAACAATTTATTGGTCATCTTGTGTTATTTTCCAGCATTAGGACATTTTCAGAGATAATCTTGAGAAACAACAAATACCATTTAAGTTCCAGCTTATTTCTTAGGGATGCCTTAAATTGTGTTACATTTTTTGCACCTTTATACATTTGTATTCATGGATGTCAATGCCGGTTAAATAACATAGTTTCATTATATAATGTTATGTCACATAAATATACATTTATATTTCATCTTACACATTAATGACATACAGATCCTATGAAAGACAAACTTGTATTCATTAAAAGTGTGTCGCTGTGTGTTTCCATCATGTGCCATAAGTTCTTCAGACTGAACAAAAAGTCTTTGAACAATACCGTCAAAAGTGTCTTATAAATGTCGTGAAAGGTTTGTCACGGTCTCGATAGACCTTTTTTTTAAAAACTTTTAGAATTTTCAGAAGTGTTTCAAAATATGAAAATTTGAAAACACTGTAATGTAAAAAGTTCCTATAAAGCAATATAAAAAGTAAGACAAACAAAAAACAGATGCTGGGTTAAGTTCCCTTAAAAAGTCCTCGAAGTGCTAAAGAAGTCCTTCAAAAGTCTTTGAAATGCATCACAAGTCTGATAAGTCTTCAAGTTGCAGAGACTTGTTGCATTTCATCATTGTGGTTTGTTCCCTCGTTGTTAACTTCTGATGGCCGTCTTCCTGTCTCGATCTTTGTTCTGCAACAGAGAGAAACAACATCTTACATTATTCAGGATTCAACACTAAAGTCAATTTAAAAAATAATTTAAGGACTAGAAACTGGAGGTGGTTCACTACACAGCGTCAACTTGACATCGTTTCTTTTTAGTTACTCTTTTATCATGTTGGTTTCCTCAAAATCCGTCAGCAAGGCTCCCTAAAGCAACAAGTATGGGACAATCGCCCCTCCTACTCAAATACTTGCATAAACAGGTGAGTTAGACGGCTGTTCTTGATGTCAACTTTCTTTATGAAATGGCGCTCTGGGGAAAAGAAATGCGTATCATGGAAAGAGATGCGATTTAACTGCAATTAATGGCACAGGCTTTATGAACTCTATCCTGGCTGATAAAGTAAATCACCTTGACCTTGCAAACTATTATTATTACTACTATTGGCTGTGGCGTGCTACACTATATAAATGAATTGTGATAGCTGATGAGTGACATCACGAGCTGTTGCGTGATCTCATTCATCTGCGGTATCAGAAGCGAGAGGCCTTGATTTGCTGGCCGGTGAGGAGCCTTTCTCTTTCTGGCCAGGAAAGTAACATCACATTTTCCCTCCTCACCTCTGCTCTGCGCCTCAGGCCATCTACCAGTCGCTTCTGAAGCCACAGTCTCAGGGCTTTTAACGAACGCGCTGTTGAGTGATATGCCACACGTCATCCCTCTCTTGCTGATTACTTTTCAGGGCGGATGTTAGATTGAGTGGAAGCTGGAAAACCGTCTCGGGATGCTGTGGTCGGTTTTTACGGATAGAAATGTTGAACGTTCTTTTTTGCAAGTGAAAACTTTATTTCAAAACGGTTTCATCAGTTTGGCTCAGCTGACTTTTCTTTCCCCGTCTCGGCTAACCCTCTCGGCCCGCCCGCACTCCCCTCGCCTTCCTCTCATCAGCTGCACACCTGTTACACATTTCCTCTCAGACTGTGCACGAGGTGTAGGTGTTTGGAAAGATCTGTTTGACTGACATCAACAAAGGTGGGTAGGTGCTTGGAAGGGAATCAGGCCGTAATGAGGGAGTGAGATCATAGGAGTTGGACGGGATTGTCCTCCCACTGATTGAGGAGACACATGAATGAACTATTATTGTCGATTCGTCCTGCAGCTGGAGCAGAGGATGATGAGGGCGCTATCGTCTAGACATGCACCATCACCTTCATTTTGTCTCTGAGTTGACTCCATATAGTCCACTTTGGTTTTGTGTAGCTTCATGTTTTTATCGAGTTGGTCGGCGTTCCTAGAATATTTACAGATTTACAGTTACGTGTCAGTTCAAGGTGCTCCGTTAAACAATGAAAAGGCCGAAGGGGACCAAAGACCAAACGCAAAACACCGAAACAAGACAAACGAGAAGTGTATGAATGCACTTTGGAGGCGACAGCGTTTCGTATTTATCTCACCTGACAAAGAGCTCAACCAATCATTTACAAAAAGGAACAAAATGTGAATTTAGGCTTCCACAGTAATCGCCTCTATGAATCGGGCCTCACAAAGGCAGTGCCATTGCTGCGCCTTCTACCAACACAAACCGTAAAACCAGTGCAGCCGTGCTCTGAGGTGTTTTCTGGAAGGCGCTGTGGAAAACTGGAGATATTTATCAGTGGAGAATAAAGTGCTTGCGAAAGTTTAGAGAAAGCGGGCACATTAAATAATCTCACTCGAAAGCTGAGCGTGACAATTGGGTGATTCAGCAAATCATCATCTTCATCAGATTACCATGGAACCAGCGCTGATCGTTGAGGAAGCACAGCTGTAGCTGGTGTGGGCGGTGCACCTAAATTCGAATTGTTTCAGTAAAAACAGGGGGGGGGGGGGGGGGCTGGTAGTCAAAACAATCTCCTGAAGACTAATATGACACGGTCGGATGACATCTCCGCTCTCTCCTTCTCTCCAAACACCCCCACACACAGACATGCCACCGGCCCGAGGGTGATTTGTCCGACACTAATACGATTACCTCATGATGTTTACTTGAGATACGACGTGGTGATATTACCCTACTGGAGCAATATTGTTGTTGTATCAAGGTCTTAACTTTAATAGGTAGAAAGTAAACGCTCTCTTCGCGGCATCTTATCAACCCCAATTCAAAAACTTTAATATTGTTTTTCCGAAACCCAATCCGAGCTGTTCCTTCACCTATAACTGTGGATTTTCCATTCTCACTCTCTCTCTCTTTTTCCTGCATAATCCATTCCGTCAAATACAAACATCTAATTTAGTTCTCGGCTGCATGAGCAGAGGGATGACTGGTTGGAAAAAATAATTCCTCTTGGGTACCCGCCCGATAATCATATAAGGAGATTGGTATTCAACCATGAAATGAAAAGTGTAATATCCCTTTAGTTGGTTGACTGAAAATATGTGGACATGCGTCAGTTCCCTTAAGTGTCTAACAGAAGCTGTAATTACCCTCACGAATGACCCTTGAGGAGAGGAGCGTAGAAGCACACTGGAATGGTGCATTAATCAGACATTTAAATCAAGCTCACACCAAAAGAGCCGCAGACTACCAGACATGTACTTCAGGCTCACTGTGGTTTGTTCACGAGCATCCCGATGGCTCCTGAATAACACGTGATTTACCTTAGGTCGCCTAATAAGTTGTAATTCTCACTAGGCGGCGACACATGTGTCTAATTGTTCCCACATTTTGTATAATCTGTTATAACGGCTGCAGCCCCGACTTCTTTCTCGTCAGTCTCGGATGGTTTCATTCTGCAACATTAGGCACCAATCGGCACTTTATCGTCTGCGCCCTGCAAGAGCCAATATGTCATTAGCTTTTAAGATATTGTTTTAAGGGACTGCACCATCTACATCGCCGGTTTCTTGCCGTCTCTGTGCAATAGATTTATTTTAGATCTGCTCTTTGCCCGGCTCCGATTTCTGTAGTTTTGCTTCAATTTGCTCCGTGAGCAGCCCTCTCCCTGGAGGCCCAATGACAACAGAATGATAGTTTTGCTAATAGATTTTGTTAGTTATCTGACACGACTTTTTCTGTTGGTGTTAAATTAGGGTTTAACTGCTTCCATCTGTTCTAGAAAATTACCGGCGGTTCCGTGCACGATGACGGCACGTATCCATACACAAAGCCAGGCTCACACACCGAACGTGGACAAGAATATATTTGCAAACTGCCTGCAGTGTAATTGGCTGCCTTCAATGCACCTCGCTAACACAGCATGAGACGGCAGCCAAAGCTTCTCGCTCATGATCCACAACGCGTCAACTCCAAGACAACATCAACATTATCAGTGAATTAGGGTAACCGTGTTTTTATCTTCGACCTCAAAACGTCTGCTTCATAAACACAAGTGACGTGACGCTTTATCCCAGTGAAAACAGACCAACAAGGAGAAACTGCAGTCATTAGTGCGCTGCTGCAGATGCCTTACGCATGCATTTAAGCGCCCTAAAAGCTGCACGGTTCATTTGATCTCTATAAAAGAGGCAAAGTGTAGTTTCACCACAGTCAAAAAAAACAACTGTCCAACGTGGAGAATAAATAGCTAAATTGATTATCCCGCTGAGTCGTTGGCTATTTATCTGCCTCTCTTTCTCTCCTTCTCCCTCTCTCTTTCCACAACTTCCTGCACACCATTAGTTTAGAAAGTGTTGAAAGCACAGTCGTGATCCAAAGCTCCTTTAGTGAGTATTTCTTTCTCTTTTTTTCAGTGGAGGGAGGGGGGGGGGCTGTCTCTAAAGGAGCAATGAACTGCCGTCTGGCTGCTAGACGGGAAAAAAAAAAGAAAATCAAGGTACAATTGAATGCATTTCGATAAAAGTCTGCGAGTGTGTCAGTATTTCTGTGGTCATGCATGTGTGCGAGTGTGTATTTGTGTCATTTGTGTGGGTGTGAGTGTGTGTGTGTGTGTGTAAGCAGCGAGGGCGTTTCACAGGGAGCGGTTTCCAGGCTTCTTTAACATCACCATCAAAGCTAAACGTCAATGTGTTTCTAATAGCAGCAGCTGAATTAAACACTGGCTGTACAGGCCTCAGCAGAGGATAAATCATTTACAGAACAATTAGCTCATTTGTTGCTTCGCTCTGCACTGCCAATGACTTCCAGACACAGAGAGCCAGCCAGGGTGTGTGTGTGTATGTGTGTATGTATACGTACATGGATGTAAAAAAAAACGTTCTCCCTGTCACTCAACTACACACGCACACACACACACACACACACACACACACACACACACACACACACACACACACTTCCACAAAACTACAGATAAGTCAGTTTCCAATTGCATGGGGCAGTTTCAGTCTCTCCATACGCCCAGCTTTCCACCCACCCACAAAAATCCACACAAAGCTTTTGCTGCAGCGCAGATATAAATCACTGCTATTTGTAAAATGAAGAGCTGAATTCATCATCTGATGCTTGCCGTTTTGCTAAATTTGTTCTCTTTTTCTGTTTCTAGAAATAAATGAAATTTAAGTTGAGGATTATTCAGGGGTCTTGCCTGAAAAAGGCTTATAAAGCGCAACCAAAAGGAACAATGGCCTTTTTTACAGCAACCGCACTAGAATAGTTCTATTTTTTCCAGATTTTTATTTAGTTTCCAAACATATAAATTCTCCTTTAATTGATCAAATGGGCAACTTTACATTTTTAAATATTGGAAAATGTTTGGACTTTTCGCAGACAGCTTAAAAGGAAAAGCTCAGCGACGTTGCTTTTACTGGCAGATGAACCTCTGTTTCTGTTTACATTTGTCATTGACTTGAATTGACCCTCTCACTGCACTGGGCCAAAAGAAATAAACCACAGCTCTGGACTGGGGAGGAAGCTGTAATTATGCTTCAAGCGCCGTGTCCTCAAGACAACAAAGAAAACAGATTAACGTGTTTCAAAAAGCACTACCATCTCAATACGATTCAGGAGCATCTCACCTACGCAGAAAGGATTATGCATTTTGAAATAGCGCCGTGGACGGTGGACTGCATGTTGAGGAAGGGAAAGGGGGGCTTCTAACAGGTATACTGGAGATAATCCCGCCACAACGACTAAATAAACTGGAATGGCGCAGGTTTTCCTGCCGTAGGTTAAAACCAGGCACCTGACAGTTTCCCCGATCAGCAGAAGCAGAGAGGAATAGCGCAGGATATCTGCATCAATCACCCAGACAGCGCGGGGATTTCAGCAGCCCTTTGCTCACCTCCACCCTGCGTCCTCGGCCCTGAACATCTCATCCACAGATGTAGCCATCAGGAGCCTCCCATGTTTTTTACGACAATTATCAAAGACACTACTATGTCAAGGCCGCGCTCCAGTTTTTACCATTTAGAGAAGAAAAAAGGTAAATTTGTCAGGATGTTTACGTCAGAGGAGTTGCTCGTGATCAAAAGATGCTTAGTCTTAATGTCCCACAGTGTCCGGACAACGAGATGGGAAATTTAATAATTTTCTAGTAGTGCAGAAAAAGGGATTTGTACTATTTACTGAAGCTAAGCAATAAACACATTCAGTGTTTCACCAGAATGGAAAATGGTTATTATTTTTGCTTCAGTCTCACTAAATTTTCACTTTTCCCCAATTGGATCTAAACATCTAAAGACACAGCCTGAGGTGCTCTCAAATATCAAAACGTCTAAAATGTAAAACTGATTTTTTAATGGCTCAAATAACCGCGCAAAAGAAGCCGATTAGCCAAATAATGAGTGTTTTTACAGGACGTTGTAATAGTCAATGACAGTGGTTCGATCATCGTTTTCATATTTATCCTTGAATAAGATTTTCTTTCACAGTCATGTGCATAAACTCATAGTCACATTAGTATTCCACCGAATATGTAATCTCCATGCAGCCCTTTCTGTGCAATAGTCATTACTAACAGGACTGTTTGTTTTGAAACAGTTATACTGTACACACTCATAATAAGAGGAAATGAGCGTACACTTTTCTCACTTTCACCCTCTCCCACATTGAAAATAAGCATAATTGAAGCAGCTGCTCTAAGCGGATCCGACAGCTGTGATGAACCCAAATGACCATAAAAACATACAAAGAGAGCACTCAGGACACAAAGTCTCATTTTACCTCCACAATCGTTTCCTCTCTGTAATCACCATCGCTGGCTCGGCCCTTTGACCCACTTAAACACACTGTATAGTCATTTTTCCAGGGAAAATTTAAATTCTTTCAGGCTCTTCCAATCAGAGTTAACTGCTTATGTGCCAGGTGAGGCAGGCGTCCTTTACGATTCTCCTCAAAAGATGAATTCCTCTATTTCTTTGTGAACCAAAAACCGCCAACAAATTGATTCTTTGCGGTTTTGTGTGTGTGTCAAAAACGTTAAGCGTACTTGCTCCTGTTCCACTGTCATGCAAAAAGTGTAAAAACATTTGTTCCTTTATTAGGATAAACACGAGCTGTTTATTCTTAGTGAAGGCACCAAATGCGTACTGATCCAACGCTGAAGCTTCGCTCCTTACGCCTGTTTGAGCAATGATTGCTAAAAACTACAGTGCCCGGCGGTTCCATTATTATACTAAGCGATTTGAAAAAATAAATCTCTACATATCTGTCAGCCGAACCCAGCAGGGAGGATTATTTTATGCGGGTTCCACTGAATATTTATACTCATAAAACGCATCAAAGTTATGACTTCACAACATTTCCCCAATTCGTGGCCTGTTTGCTCACTTGAATGAGCCGAGGGATCACCAACAGATAATGACTTTCACCTGGATTCACCTATTCAACGCGCTGTGGAAACAGCACGAGTCCAGACAACAGTCAACTGCTGCTGAGGTCAAGAAGAATAAACTTAAAGGTTGTCCACAGTTGAAGGTTTTTGACATGAGAGGTGTTTCTACGCAGCATGCATTAGCAGGTCAGTCGTGCGTCTGCAGCAGCGGGTTGACAGCAGCAGATAGTATTACACCGCTCCTCCCGACAGGGCCGACCTCCACCAGGCCGATCGATACGCACAGAGCCGGGTGAAACCGGATGAGAAGGACGGGGAGGATGAAAACGGAGGACTCGGGGAGGACAAAACCGAAAACAAAAGGAAAAGGAGAGACCAGAGAGAGAGTGACTGATTTGATTCTATTCATCTCTCAGCTGAGGGTGTCTGGGACTCAGACGCAGAGGACGTATAGGCTTTCACTCACACAGGTTCAGAGGGGAGCCGGGAGGGAGGGCGAGACACACTCTGCTGAGACTCGGATTATCCCCCCAGCTAGAGGGTCTCTGGGTTTAGACACTGAGGAGGGTATTAGCTTTCACACACTGCTGGGGTAACGGAGGAGTCTGCCAGATGTCAGCTCCTTACCCATAAATCCTCCTAAATGGGCAGCGGCTCGGTCAGAAGGGGGGAAGTTGAGTGGCCGTCACCTCTCTGTCATCTCCTGCACAGACTGGTTGGTGTTCGTTGAAGTGGGAGCTGCGTTCACGCACACTTGCACGCAGTCAGATGATAGGAATTCTTCATCCCCTGCTCATTCTCATCAGACTGAACTCTCTTTTTTACTTTTTTTTGTGCTGAGAGTGTTCTTGATTATTTCTATTTCCCGTGTTGAATCAATCAAATGCGAGTTGAACTTTGCACTGGATCAAGTTCTCCCTTTTCTGTATCTCTATCAAGTCGTTTACCACCGGCGCAACAGCGGAGGACGTGAAACAGAAACGGCTACAAAACTATGATCCGAAATGTCGTCGACTCTGAAATTAGGAGTTTGTCAATCGAGTCGCTTCTTATGTTGCTTGTCTGTGAATTGAATCAATTCCTGAATTATTAACCTGTGGCTAATTAAAACAAAACCCTGAAAATGCTTTTGGTAACTTCCTTAGTATATTAGTTTAATGTAAACATAGCTGGTTTTGGTCCCAAATGTATGTTTAGAATAAAAATTGAATTGCCAGTTGGCGATATCTGGGTCAGAGGTCAGTTCTGCACTAGTTATGATTAAAACCTCCTCATTTCCAAGCTGACGTCAATACATTCTTGAAATTATACACATGGTTTTGGATAGATGTTATGGGTTCCCGGTCATAAATCTGACTCGCTTCTTAAATGCCCTCGCAAACTTTAAATTCCGAATCTAACAAAAAGAAAGAAAAACACCCCAGTTGGAAGTTTGAGGCATTCGTCACGCTCGTCTTCTCAGTTCACTACTATCCGAAATGTCAACTGAGTTTCAGAAAGCACCTTGAACTTTGATGCCACCTGCTCGGGTAAATCTAACCCCCAGCAGAACAATAACCTGCAGTCCTTCACCCCGACGGAGGACCTCAAAAGAGGTTCTGCTTTTAATGTCCCTCTGGGCCAATCAGGTTTATAGGCACAGTCACTGATCTCAGGTCAGCTTTAAACACCGAGTTGACCCTAAAGCAGTGCACGGTTTCCTGAAAAGGAGCCTCATACTACACTGTGATCAGCTTTCTGTTTATATCATTCTTGAAAAGTTTTCCATTGACAGGAATTGAAAGAAACAGAATATAGTTATCATCGTAGTATTTATCTCATGATCAGAAGCTGATCTTTCTTTCAATAATAATTGTACTACTGTTTTTACGACGATCTTACTACATAGGCTTTTTGTTGTATTCGATGCAGACTCTTTTATTCCTCAATGATTTGTCATTTTCATCTGCTCACCATTTTCCTCTGGTTGCTGAGGCAGAAAGTACAGATGTGCTTCGGCTGAGCTGATTGGTCGGATCCACGGCTGGGGGAGGAGTTAACATGGAAGAACGGCGGTGAGGGAGCGTGGCACGGCTGTCCGTCGTGAAGGCCCTCGCCCAGGAGCAAGACGTTCCCCAGGTGACTGATGTAGCTGCTCGCCAGACGTAGCGTCTCGATCTTCGACAGCTTCCTAATCATGAAATCAGAAGGAGGAATGAGGTTAATTATGACACAAAATACCTAAAAAGTGTACAAAAATGATCATAAAAATAACCACCAACTGCCATGTTAAAATAAGGTGCAAAATACATATAAAATGTAAACAGTGATAAAGTAGACACTGACTTTATTATTGGAAAAATACACATAAATAACATTACAGTTAGTTAAATTATGTCTAAAGGTGCTTGTGTGATTTATCAGAGAGGACAACAGTTTGAATCAGATGGAAAAGGTGCCCTCGTGACACTTTAAGACACCGTGCGATGACTCGGTACCTGTCTGCAGGCTCGGTGGGGATGAGCGTGCGCAGCGCCGTGAACGCCGTGTTGACAGAATTGGTGCGATCTCTCTCCCGCGCGTTGGCCGCGGTCCTCTGGCGGACCTCCCCGTGGGGGGGGGACCCCTGCGGGATGAGCCTCCCCATCATGGCCTCCACGTCCACCCCTCCCGCCCCGCACAGCTTCCTCTTCCTGTTCACCTTGATGTGAAAGGCCGTTGGCGACGAGGACAGGCGGAAGTTGGAGGAGTTGCGGTCCTCGGAGCCTGAACCCTCGCTCCCGTTCTCCTCGTCGTCTTCGGAGAGGAGGGCGATGTCGCCGTACAAGAAGCGGCCCGCGGGAGGCGCCGTGCGCAGCATGGCGAACGTCATCTTCGACGCGTCGGCGCTCTGTCGGCTGCTGGTCAATCCGCAAGAGACACTTCCACTTGTCGACGTTTAACCGGAGAGCGCTTGGCAAAACTCTCTGTTGTTATTGCTGATTAAAGGGGGGCGACACCGTGCAACATTCACTTTACCCCAACGTCTCTTTTAGTGAAGCCAGGTGAGTCAGACGTGGCCCTTATGATGCAGAGTTAGGCTGGGTTTAAAAAACATCAACCAGTTGATCCTAAGTCTGTGGTCACAAGCACCCTGACCTCAGCAGCTGTGCTTTTTCTCTCTTGGTTCATACAAAAAAACACTTCACATCCCAAAAGGTTCAAGTTCTTCTCTCTGTTTAATCCTTTAGAAGAAGGAAAGTTGACGTTCTCCTATTTTTCTCCTCTAGACCTTTTTCTTGTTTTTTCGTTTCTGTGTTTGTCCGTTTCAATTCCAATAGCAAAAACTACCCGCAGGCCGTGGCAGCAGCTTTACTGTCTCTCTCCCTCTCTGTGTCTCTGTGTCTCTCTTCCCGTCCTTCTCTCGCTCTCTCGGGCTCTTTGCTCCACGTGTGCCTGCTGTCTGAATGTTTCCGTCTGCCTCTGGTCTTATAGCCGGTGGGAGGGCCGCGGGTCTCCTCTCCGCTCCTCCCTCTGAGCAGCCGAGGGTCCCTCGGCTGCTGTCTAGAAGCAGGCCAGGGAGACCGGAGGCAGGAGGCGAACCATCAGCCGGAGTTTGTTTTGGCTGCACGCTGATTTGGTTTCTGGGGAAATTCACCCCGGAGCAGCTTTGCGTGACCCCCGCCTGCTAAGTGTGTTCGGTGACCTTTGTGACCACGCGGGCTTCTGACACACATATTGCTTTCAATAAGAGGGTTGAATACACGTTTTGTTTAGTGGGTGTCCTCGGAAGCAACAAACACACACATACAATGCTTTTGAATCTGAAAAAAATGGCATGATCTGTCTGAGACAACACTGATTCTAACTTGGTTAGTTTTCTCTTTGTGCGAATGCTACCTGTTCAGAGTTGTTGATTTTAGATTTCTGGATTCGTTCTGAAGAGAAAAAAGAGTCTGCCTCCTGTTGGTGACTTTTCTTTGTATTTTCTAGTTATTTTCTAGACTTGTTTCTGTATCTGCATGGACACATAGTGACGACAAAGTCTCCATTTGCATCGTGCAATTCCGATCACTGTTTTCTAAGTCAGGTCTCTCAATTTTCTGCAGCTCTTTATAGCAGCTCCCGAGCAGTTGAGATCACAAGAGGTCGCTTGCAAACCATTTTTGATTAGCGAGCTGCAACAGGACAACAGGGTCATGTCCTTTACCCAGTTAAAGTTGATCCAACCCATCCTCTTATCTTGTTTATCCACAAAGTATGTCTGTAATTTTGAAGCATTTTCCCAAAATCTTTATTCACTGACTCTCGTTGAGATTTGTTTTGTATTCTGTGGGTAGCTTGTTTGCCTGAGCAGGCGCCCTGCAGGAGGTAGGACTCGCTGGGATCGGATGTTTTTGATTAACTGCTTTCTGGACAGCAAGAAGCCGAGAAGCTTGAGTGGTGAAGTAAGAGTTTGCCTTTCTCCCCGCGTCTTCCTCCCCCGGCCTCCTCGCGGTCGGTGTCGTGTTTGTCCCTGGACTGGAAGGCTGGAAGGCTGGGGGAAGGAGGGGGGGGGTCGCAGCGAGCCGCAACACCGCACGCTTCAGGCTGGGCTCGCGGTTTATGCAGCCACAGCCGAAGCCTTTTCTCTGTGCGAGCTGGGCCGCTGGAGGGTCTGAATGTCATTCGCCCTCAAGGGATTCAGACTTTTGGGTGGAGTTGTTTTGGTGATGAAGGGGAGGCTCGGGGGTTTATAGTCGGGGAGCCGCTACTTTACTCACATACACTCTTTTTTACAATCTGTCTTCCTCTGAAAGAGAAGAAAATATGAGACCCGGCAGCAAAGGGAGCAGAGACAGAGGGAGGAACGGAGAAAACAGAATAACATGTCAGAGATCCATCTATCCAGCTACACATGAATGATAGAAGATCACGTGCTCCCTTTGGATTTTACCAAATCCTTTTTACAGCTCTCATTAGACTCTAATCAGATTTTCCCTCCTAAGTAAAAAAGGGTTTTATTAGACACAATTGTGTAACTTAACTCTTAGATCCAAGAAACGTTCTGAACTTTGAATTGTGTTTCCCGCTTCAACTGTGCAGTGGTTAAAGGTTGACAACCTATGAAAAAAATCAACTATGAAACCCATAATCCTCCGTAGTGCATCAGTGAAACTCTAAACCCAACTGCCACTGCTGGTATGCCTCCTTTGTGTAGATTGGCAACCGTAAACCGCTGCTAAAAATGAATAGGACGAAGAATAATCTGTCACAGTTACACAATGTTACAGACAGCATTCATCAGACTCTCTGTCCATATTTCTTTCTCCTCGTTTCCTCTTTGTATCTATATCTACCCATCAATCACAGTCATGGTGTGTTTATGCTGTGCTTTTCACAGAAGGGAGAAAGGCCAGAGCCGCCCGCTTGGAGCAGTCAGGATGGGGACACACTGAATTTCCTCAGTTAGTATAGGAAGAAAACCAGAACGGCAAAGGGTTGCCAGTCGTGGTGGGAATCACCAGGGGCCTGCGATACGATATTATCACGACACTTAAGTAATAATACAATGCCGTTGCAATTTTAAACAATTTGCACTGACCCTGAGCATTCTGATGACACATATTGCAATTTATCTCTCTTTTTTTCTGTTTCAGATAATGCAGTTTGATAATGCAGTAAAATCGGTTGAGCAGTCCAGCAGACAGACTTGATCTTTGTTTCGACCGACATCCTAACAATCCGCTGACTTTACCCCCGACCGCATGAGACAGTACTCATCAGCATGTCTGTGTACGGACACAAACTTACCAAGCAGTCCATCACGATACTCCTGCCCTGTCAACATCTTAATCCACTATTTGGCAGACAGTTCCCCCCCCTCACAAAGGTGCAATCAAACTAGGCAATTTGCTGGTGCTGCGTTGCTGCATGCAGTTTAGGACATTCAGATTCTCAATAAATTCCCTTCAAATAACAACTGCTGGAAAACTCTCACAGATATTGAATACAATGGAGGAAAGCGTTTTACATTTCATGGTTTGCTTTATAGTTTTCCACTCTCCTCCAGTTCTCATTGGACACATCCTGTCACTGGATATCAAATCTGTTTTAGAAAAATGGCCTGGCTGTCAAATGTGAACATGTGAAACTCAGACTGCAACTACATAATGTCACTCATGAAAGAGCCCTGCCCACGCGCAGCTAGCGCCCTGGATCCTCTGCGGTGACCTTCAGCATGTATCAGATTCCGACACCTTCGTCAGAGACCCAACAGCACGTATCAATTTTAGTTAAGAGTTGTGTTGGTTTTGGACGTGAAAAGAAATTGATTGAAAAAGAACCAAATCACCCAATGAAAACAAACTCTTTCAAGAGCTAACACTGCAGTCCACTCCAACAGCTCATCGCTCTTGCAAAGGGAGAAAATCCTGGCAACGTGTGGTTTGTTTCCGATTCCCTTTTGAATCTGCTTCGAGGTATAAAAGTCAGAATACTAAATAATTCAAATTCAGCAAAAAATATCAAGCACTTCCTCTTGTGGTGTGTAGTCTGCCTTTTGTTTCGATTTAAAGACAGTCCAGAAATGATGAAACTTTATACAATATTCATCATGAGAAATATTCAGGTATGGGTCTTCCTAAAATATCGACTAACAGTAAAACAGCAAGCAAATCTAAACCTAAATGTCTTGATTAATGACTATCAGACGTGTGTTTGGTCTGACTGAACGTATGTGTGAGACTGCTCCGGAGGTGTATTTCCCAACCAGCCTCACTCACTGTGGTCCGTCATTACATGCATTAGCATGATCTTACTGTGATTTGCATCTCCCTGTGAGCGTGTGGCTTTTCTAACACAGTATCCAATTCTCTCTCAATTGTTGCCCGCAGGCCAGAGAACATTTGACTGGGTATATTGTGGACTTTAGTTCTTTTTGCGATCGCACATGGTTGTTTTTGCCCAAAGAATGTTGAATGAAAAGGACAAGCTACATTTCAGCACATTAATAGTTACATTAAGACTAAATAAAGTGTTGACCCAAGTCAAGAACACAGACTCTGGATTTTATTATCTCGGATCTGCCTCCAATGGAGCGCTTGTTGTCAGTAACAGGTCATTTGAGAAACTTATATAAAGCTTGTAATGGCATTAAAGTGATTTACAATGTAACATTGAGACAGTGTATAACAAGAAAGACAAGGCACAGAACTCTTAAAATCAACTGTTGAATAAAACATCAAAAAAGCAGACACCCTGGACATATGAATAACTATATATTCTCCACTGCAGCCAATAGCACACATGATATAGCAAAGTAGAGACTACACATCTTTCACACAGCATGTGGGACGGACTTTGATTGTTGCCGCAACAAAGTGGTTTGTTGTAAATTATTCGTATGGACAACGTCCTCCATGAAAAGTCCTCAACAATCTGCTCCAAGTCTAATACCTCTGTGTCTCAAATCACAGTGGAACCAGTTCTCACCACGTCCCTCACCCAATGGTACCAGTCCTCATCATATCGCTTTCCCAGTGGTACCAGTCCTCATCATATCGCTTTCCCAGTGGTACCAGTCATCACCATATCGCTTTCCCAGTGGTACCAGTCATCACCATATCGCTTTCCCAGTGGTACCAGTCATCACCATGTCTCTTTCCCAGTGGTACCAGTCATCACCATGTACCTTTCCCAGTGGTACCAGTCATCACCATATCGCTTTCCCAGTGGTACCAGTCATCACCATATCGCTTTCCCAGTGGTACAAGTCATCACCATGTCTCTTTCCCAGTGGTACCAGTCATCACCATGTACCTTTCCCAGTGGTACAAGTCATCACCATATCGCTTTCCCAGTGGTACCAGTTATCACCATGTCTCTTTCCCAATGGTACCAGTCCTCACCATATCGCTTTCCCAGTGGTACCAGTCATCATCACATCTCTCAACCAGTGGAACCAGTTCTCACCATGTATCTCCCCGAGTGGAACCAGTTGACTGCCTGTCTCTGGCCCAGTACAGAATCATCATTTTCAATGAACTGTGCGCGGGTACAATTGTGTTATTCATAACCATGTTGCATGCACGTTCCTTGACGTGACCCCGGTAGTCTGTAAAAACACTGATGAAAGTCTCCTCTGCAGAGCTTCGCCCCCACGCGTCCGCTGACCCACTGGCCGCTTCTCCTCAGCTGCAGCTGCGGATGGAGCTCCTCCCTTCTGGTTAGTAGAAATCTATTAAAGCTGCTTTCTCATGAAGTGCGTTTCCCAACTCAGGTTATGACCAAAGAGCCAATCAGTCCACAGGACTGAAGTAACTCTGCTGTCGTTTGCACCAGGCTTCACGTGGCGATCGCACGTTTCACTCTCAGCCTCTGCCCTGTTTGACGACGGTTGCGCACTTCCAGAGAATAATAATCACACATGTGAATTAATAAGTTGAGTGGTGTTCTCCTTTAAGGACGCAGCAGCAGCAGCACAGTAGTAGAGCCCCATCTGATAGTCATTACACCCCCTCCTCCTCCGGCCCCCCTTTTCTCCTCCCGCTTGA